CCTGTTTGTCTGCAGAACTTCCTTAATTCTTCACTCTCTTATAATTTAGAATTTTACTCAGAAGGTGTTGGCAGCTGAGATTTTGGCCCATATTGTATAGATAGCATCACCTAGTTGAATTGTTGACAGCACCTCCATGATGTGACTTTCTCACATTCTGAAGGTACTCTGTTGGTTTAAGACCTGATGACTATGGAGAACACTGGAGAACAGTAAATTCATTCTCATGTTCAAGAAGCACGATTTATAGAGGTGACATAAAAAAGTTTTGTCACAATATTTTGTAACGATAAAAAAATGATTGAACTATTAATTAGTGCTTTTCTAGTCAAGTGAGATGTTCTGAGTTTGGTGATCAAAAGGTGGGTATGGTGTAGTTATAAAGAGATGATCAAATTTAAATGCTTTTGTATTGTTTACCCAAAGACTGACTGTACCATCCAACTGATTAAGTTGAAATAAAGACACATTAGACCAGGCAATATTTTGCTATTGTTCAATCTTAGCAACTGCTGCTTCAGTTTCTTGGGATATGAGATATAGTTTGGTCTTCTGCTGGCTGCTGAAGGCCTGTCTACTTCAAAGTCCAACATGCTGTGTGTTCAGAGATGGCATTCTGCACAAGTTAGTAGAACTGAGTGGCCGTCTGAGCTCTCTCATTCTCATGATGCTTTAAAACAACACTAAATAAAATTTATTTATGTACTCAAAAGAGTTATGTAAATAAACTGCATTTACTTACTCACAAGAGATTTTAGTTTATTTATAAAGCATGTATTTTAAGTGCAATTCAACAGGAGAGAAAGGCAGTCAAGTTGTTTTTGCCCACATAACTTGCATATTTTATTTTTTTTTCAACTCATTCTCTGTTAATCTGGGAATGTGTCCAAACCACAAATTGTTAACTACAGTTTTATTTTGTTGTAGAGTCAAATCTTGAAGCTGATTTTTTTTTCTCAGTTCAGAATTGTTCAGTTTAAAAGGAACCTAGATTAAGACACCCAAAAGAAAAATCTCAACATTTGAACAGCTACAAGTTCAAATGTCTGCTGTGCGTATCACACAGTAAGCGTAAGTAAAAGCAGTTACACATATATTAACATGTCTCTTCTTTTGTTTTAATGTCAGATGAAGATAAGTACATCCAGTTGGTTTTCAAACTCTTCTATAGACGAAATTGAAATTCAGATTTTGGAATGACATTACTCCTGACATGAGCTTGTTCTGGAGAAAAGTACCAAAACTGGTAGGATGTGGTAATTGCTAAAAACATCACTCACAAACAAAGACGAATAATGTATTCCCCATCTGTCGTCATCTGTAAACCGTAAAAATAAAACAACAGTAGAACTTATTCACTATTATAAGTCTGTTTACAAACAACTATTATAAATTATTATGGCAATAAATATCCCTATAAATAAGCAGCCAAAAAAGGTATTTCTTTAAAAAATTATCAAAAGACGAGTGAAAAAAAAAGAAAATCAAAGTCCAAAGTAAAACTTTGAAAGAGGTTTCTGAAACATGATTCAAAATATCACTTTTGAGACAAAGTGTAAATAAATAAGGGATGATTCAAGATTTTTGCACAGCACTGTATATATTAATAATTTGTCACTAAATGGCCTGCAGAAGAACTGACAGCTTTTGCACCGCCCACTGACAGAAGATATTTAAGCGAACAGTTATGCTAACAAAGGCTTTCAGCATGCTGCAGAGCTCAGATAAAAACACTATCATTCTTTTGTCATTTTGACATCTCTTCAGTCTTTCTTGTGCTGCCACGAAAAAGGATGGAGTCCCATTTCTATGTAAATTCACAGAAAGCGAGATTCCAGTGACAAATTACTGTACATAATGGTATTTCTCCCCCTCCCCCTTCGTGTTCCTTAAAATGCCACTTCATCTCTGCCTAAACAATAAGTTAGACTAATGCATTCTGACAGGATGCATCTACGAGATTTTCCAGATACAAATTATTCTACGAACTGAACTCACTGAGAACAAACTTTAAATGTCTGCCAATACAAATTAAAATATATGTAGATATATTTTATCATCATATGTGTCTCTTAAAAATATATCCATGTTATTTACAGTCTGGATCTGAGAACATACTTCTCATATCTGAGACAAATCAGGGATTACCAGCTGATTAAATTATGGGTGTTTGTTTTCTGGAATACAACATCTAACATAAAACAAATTATCTTCCATTTAATTTTATATTCAAGCCATCAATAACAAGGCAAACTCCTGCCACCATTGCCACCCTTAAATTTTTCCTGATGTTTCTTCTAATTTTGTTATGTAACCTATTCCATTGAATTATTTTTTTTTCATATTACGTTAAATATTTTCAAAGTGGCCTGCGCATGGGTTACCCTGCCTTCCCCTTAATGACCACTGAGTGCCAACTCCCCCGTGATTCTGACCAGCGTCGAGAGCAAATAGAAAGAAAATGGACCGAAATGTCGTTTTATTGGCTGACTGCCTAGAATGCATTTTATACCGAAGCAACACATTTCTATTTAATCTCTGAAAGATGCATCCCTTACGCCATCAGGGATGTGACATGCATCAAAAATGTTTTGAAAACTTTTCTTTTTCCCCACAAGGACACAAACATCAGAGGAGAGACGTACAAAAGCAGGAGGGGTAGCAAATAAGCCTTTTGCAAACTTATATAAAGACAACTTGCTAGATAATGAAGGTTTGCATACATATATATATGTATATATATACATATATATATATATATATATATATACATACATCGTGTGTAGTATATATATATATATATATACGTATATATATATATATATATATATATATATATATATATATATATATATATATATATATATATATATATATATATATATATATATATATATATACATATATATATATATATATATATATATATATATTATATATACATATATATATATATATATATATATATATATATATATATATATATATATATATATATATATACATACACACTGATGTATGTATATATATATATATATATATATGTATATATATACATATATATATATATATATATATATATATATATATATATATATATATATATATATATATATATACATACATCGTGTGTATGTATACATACATACATCGTGTGATGAGCTTTATATATTTGTGCCACAAATACCAGTACAAGAAAATCTAATAACAATAATGATTCATCTTTGTCAACAAAAACTGTCTTAATTTTTGACATTTTTATGTCAAAATCTTTTGACATTTTTGTCAAAAAAATTTTTTTGACATAAAAATGTCAAAAAAAACAGCATTTTTTCATCTGTCTTTGTAGTAATTTATACTAAAATCAACTCTCACATTCTTTAGCCATAGATTGCATTATTTGATTTGTAGTTACTTATTTACAAGAGATTATTTGCCCTCTTACTTTTAATTACTGACTGTATTTTCCAAGAAATCAAACTTGGAAGACCAGATAATTCCTAAGTCTTTCATCAATGCTGAGCAACATAACTCTGTGATTGGTTTAGTACATTTAATGCTTTGCTTCACTGAGCACCAGAATACATTGAAATCAATACCATGCCCTTTCACAATCACCAGATTGCGCTACAGAAAGCAGGATTACTATTACCTTCGCTGTCCGTATAGACATATTACACTGACTAAAAAAAAGTGTGATGAGCTTTCTGAATCTGAATTACATTAAAGACAACATTAATCTCCAATATTTTAGATTTATCTTCCGTGTCTAAAATGACATATCAAGTCAGATCAAGGACTAAAAGTCTGCGTGAGAAAATATTATGATTTCTAAAAAGGAACAGTGCTTTATCTGCAGGCTCAACATTGTTAAATAGAAGTGGATTAGAGGCCGGATCGTTTGAAGTCCCCCTCCTAAACACACAGCTGCTGCTTTTATCTCAGCCAGCCCGTCAGGAACGATTGACTTTATGATAACTGCTGGTGCTAATGTGTGTGAGAGCATGTTAATTTTAAATTCATCCCTTTGGGTATTTCTAAACTTTCTTCTGATAGATCTGTGAAACCATCTGCCCTGTCAAATGCAACACTTAATACTCAGCAGGCCTCAGACGTGCTGCTGCACAGCGAAACTGTCCCTTGCTCCTGTAAACAGTGACTCCTCTGTTTGTCTTTTTACACCACAATGAAGAGCACTAACTTAACGCCAGATTGTAGGTTTAATGTGACAATTTGTCACATTTAAATTACAGATAAAAATTATGGGTTGATTTGATGTGATACATTAACACAAAGTAGATATTAACTGTGAGAGTGAAGGCAAATGATTGAATGGTTTTGAAGGCCTTTGCAAATTAAATCTGAAATTGTGGTGTGCATTTGCATTGAGCCCCCATTTGTAGACGCCCCAAAGTAAAATCCAGTGCCACCTATTGTCTTCAAAAGACACTTAATTATTACATGGAATGCCTGTTTGTAATTTGATCTCTGTATAAATACAGCTGTTCAGTAATCAACTCAGAGGTGTGATAGAGAACATTAGTTCATAAAGACAAAAGGACACAGCTGACTGCTTGGAGTTAAAACTGTGGAAAAGAGCTGGTCAGAATTGATAGTACGATAAAATGCATCTCAATATGGAGCATTAACGATCTTTTATTTGATTTAGCATGCTCAACTTTGTGTTGGTCTATCACATTACAGCTCGATGAAATATTAAACTTCAATGTTTTAATGTGACAAAATTTTAGAGAGTTTCTCCACTTATGAACACTTTTGCACGGCAGGTTGTCACTTACCTCAGAGTTACTCTCTTTACAATTTAGTGCTCTGACAAATCCAGACGTGATCTCACATAAAGTGTGAAAATCACTTCTGCCATCTCCTTTGGCATCCATTTGGCACTTTGGCAGCTCGTTGTTTTTTTTCAAAGCCACTTTGCATTGATGATAATCTGCTTTTTGTTGTTGTTGTTGTTTCTTCCCGTTGTGCACTCATAGGTGCAGCAGTGGCGGGCCCAGCAGGAGGAGGTGGCTAAGCTGGAGGCAGCTATAGCAGCAAGACGTCAAGAGGAAGAAGAGGAGAGATTAAAGAAGGAGCAGGAGAAGGAGGTTGCCATGAGATTCAACCAGAAAGAGAAAGTAAAGACTTTGTCTATATTTCTGTGCTGTTACTTACTGCAGCATTTTTTTAATCTGTAATGAAGAGCAAATGTATCAAACTCTATAAAGAAATAAAAGTAGCAAGGAGTGCTTTAATGATATACATTACTTATGATGTTGATATAATCTGTGTTGGTCTGATCTGATTTGCTTTAAAAAGGATGAACCTGGGTCAATGGAAAAAAACAAAACAAAACAAAAGTCAATGCAAAAATGGAAATGATGTACACAAAAGAAAACCCTGTATGTTATGAAATTGAAAGCATGTGCTATTATCATTACACAGGGATTTTGATTATCCGTTTCAGTTATTGAACACATAGGTGTGATAATACCAAAATGTGTTTGTGTCTGACTGTTTAATTAACTCTCTCCTCAGGGGTCTGCTGTGGGGGGAACTGGCAACCTGGGATGCTATCTGATTAATGAGAACATTCAGGCCTCATTGAATTCCGTATAATTTAGCACAATAATCAGGCAGACCCTGAAATTTCATCTCATTTTCTCGATTTATATTTATCTGATTCCTGCTGCCTCAGTCAATAGGACATGATGATCCTGGGAGTTTTCTGAGAGTCAACTTTGTTGCTGCGTGATTGCTCTTCTTGTTAACTTTCTATTGTTTGTCGTGTTTCCTTTTTTCGCTCTTCCAGCTGAGACTGTTTTATTTAAAGCAGCAGAGAAGGAGGGAGTTGCTGGAACAGAGGGATCAGAAGGCACTCGCAGCTCTTAGGAGCGCCATGGAAGAACAGGCGAGAAGAGACAGGGAGAGGTGAGTGCTGGGACAGAGGGACCTCATTTCTTTGTATGTCAGTGCTTTAACAAGTAAAAATACATTCGATGTGGTGTTGCTTTTACATATATGTTTCGGCTTTGGCACAATAGTATAAACAGTTGGGAATCCTGATCTATGACGAGGGAGATTTCTAGTCATTCCAGGAAGAACATTCACGTGTAATAAGAACAAGTTCAAAAGCATTGGAAATAAAATAAAGTTCATAGTTCACGACCTCAACAATTTAATTGAAGTACTCAATATGACCAATAATGTTTGAACATGCGTGGGTTCTCTCTGGGTACTCTTACGTTAGGTTAATGGTTTGCACAAGTCAGTGCAGTTTGCAAGGTTGTTTGGTCTGTGTGTCCATGTGTTGGACTGCGGTGGATCTCATCTGTCAGTGAATGCTGGGAATAGGCGCCAGCCCCTCCTTCAACGTTGACAAGCTAAACAGATATAGATAATGGATGGATGGATGATGTGATGTCAATAATCACACTGATTATATCTGTTTATTTAATTCTGCCTTATTCTCATGGCTCCCACAAACTGATTTTTGTTGGGAGTAAAAGTCATCAATAAAGCTTCCAATGCACATATTTCCTTGCTTTGGCAATCAAAATTGGACAATGCTTGATGGTGTGCTTTGTTGTAATATGTCTTATCTCATGGCTGCAATAGATCCAGTTTCCTCAAAACAATTGTGTTTCTGACTTTTGAGAAACATGACTTTTTTTTCAACCATAATTAAAGATTAATAGCTTGTCTGTTGGAACAGCACTCAACTGTTGGTTTTAAGGTCCTGTGTCATGTTCCCATCTAAAAAAAGGGTAATGTAGGCAATGATTTACTGATTACGTGAGCATGAAGCACAGTCACAATTTATGAAAATACTTATATCAATGTGATTGATTTAAAGAAGACCGGTGTTTCTTTCAGTGTTCTATGATCACCATTTGTCTATTTGTTGCAGTAAAAAAAAAAAAAAAAAAACCCAGTAAAATGTTTTACCTGCAAAGAAAGCCACATATGAAAAGATAAAATAACATAGTTACTGCAGTTTTTGAGGTTGTACCATACATATGCTCCAATTTTACAGATACGCTCACACTATTTATATCATTTGTGCATACCACTTGTAAGAGACGCTGCTATTGCTTGACTTTGCTGGTTATTTCGATTGGACTTGTAGGATCCTAGATTGAATCAAAGAACTCTTTTGACATTCGAGGGTTTTAAGCTCTCAGTGACCTTTTGGATCATGTTGCTTTTTGATTCATTGAAGCTATTCATGCTATTTACTGTCAGCATGTTTGCAGAGCTTTTGTTCTGGTGTGGATTTGCACAAATCCAAACAAAACAAGTCGGGACACAGAACCAGTTTCCTTCTTAAACTGCATGATGGCCAGACGTCCACATGGTATTTGTGCTCTCATGTAACTTGCAACTGAACATGTAGTTTTCTGGAGTCTGGATATTGCATCAAAAGAGGAACAAGACTTCTGGATTATTGAATTATTTGGATTTTCCCATAATCATACAAGAAAGCAGTGTGTTTCAGGTGTCGGCTTACCACAGAAAAGGTTACATTTGATTTAACGTCAGGCAAAAAGAAAATGCTAGGTTATTAAAAGTGTATGTTTCCATCGGGTTTCAGTTACTCTTGACAGGTGTGATGTTTCACAAAATGCACTTTGTTTTCAAGTTTTTGATGTGGCACCGTACGGGGCAAGATGAGGAATAATGTTAAAGCGGCTTCATGATGGAGTAAACCGCAGCTTTTAGACTGCGTTTTGTCAGGAAGAACAAGTGGGAGGGCTGAAAAAAGAGATAAAAACAGACAATCTGAGAAGAGCTGCAATCTGGCAGCGCCATTAAGCCCTACCGCTACCTGCAGGTTCGGGGTGAAGTGATAGGTAATGCTGCCTCTGGCTGTGGCCAAGGAACAGAGGTGTCATCCAGGCCTGATGTCCGACAGCCTCTCTCTCTGCTCCCTTTAGGGTGCTGTTTCGCGCTGATGTGTTGCAGAAACGAATGAGGGAGAGAGAAAGGCAGGAGCTGGAGCAGCAGAGGGAGGAACAAGAGAGGCAGGATCGTCTGGAAGCTCTCAGAAAGCAGGTGAGCTATTTGCCAGCCTTAACAGTTTGAGCCACTCAGCTTTGTTCTGTCAGTCCAAATTACTCACAAGGGAAGAACTGGACTCATCCTTACCTGAGCAGAAACATCAGTGCCACCTTTTGGTTGCAAGTGAGAAGACAGCCGTGAGTTGGCAATATCAATGTCTTTTTATATCGTCGTTTCAGGTTGAGGTGATGGCAGAGGCCGACCCAGAGAGGATGATGGCGGCTACAAAAGCTTGGAGGAGCAGACAATTGAGTGAGACAGAGTTTGAGCTGCAGAGGCCTCTCTACAGTATTAACACGTACACAGACAAACAGGTGAGGAATGATAATATCTTCCCTCCACTCACCTTTATCTGTTGTTTAAAAGATGCCAATGACCGGGTTGATTATCATTTGCTTCAATCTGCTTGTTTCTGCTCCCGATGTATTGACTTTAGACAATCACTCCCCAGATCACTCCCCCCCCCCAGATTTCTTCAGCTACAATCAGTTGTTCAGGTTTTGTTTCACTTTAGTTGGGACTGACCCATGCCATCAAGAAAAATACACAAGGCAAGGGACAATTTGCCCTCATATCAACACACAGCCATGATCCCAAGGACACCATGCCTCAATCAATAAGCTGCTGAGGCTGCTGTATCTGTGGCTTCTTTGTCCCAGTTCAGAGCAAGAAGAAAAAAATAAAAATAGTTTTATAATTTAATGGAAAAAGCTGTAAATATGTAATTTATTTACTACATGCTGGTTGCATGTCTGTCTCCCAGATTGTGTCAGATCCAAGACTCCGAGCTGAGCAAGCTTTCCGAGAAGCTGGAGTACACCAGAACCAGTATGCCAAGGAGGCCCTGTCCCAAATCAAGCCTCTTAAACCACCAAGGCGAGACACCAAATCCACACTTAAATTCTGACAAGAATTGTGTTTGGCTCATACTGTTTTGTTCCTAGCATTTTTCTTTTCTCTTTCATTTAAACCAGTAAATAAATTCATGTAGCACTTTTCTTGTTGTACTGAACGCTTCAGGTGCTTTACACTGTCACCACATTGACCAGTTAACTTGAACACATTCATACACTGATACGCAGATCAGTAGGTGACATGGTACCGGGGGAAGCTGGAATCAAATCCACAATCTTCCTATTGAAATTCACTGAACCACCATCACCTCAGATCTTAATAGAGTTAAACAACGCAGCATAGATGTAAACTCAGAATGTTCCCATCTCAATGTTTGTCATTCGTCATCCTGATCTGAGTCATTTCAGAATAAACATTGATCAATAGTGAACACCTGGCCCCTGTTAAAGACTGACTAAATGCCATAACATTTACCATTTGCCGTAACTTACTCGACACATTTCAGATGCTGACTGTGACAGATATTTTGTTGTCTCATGCCAGTTAAGCTCTTCAACTAATAATATCTTAAAATCTTGCAGCAGATTTTTTAAATACTGTTTGCTGTATGTTCTGATGACTTGTTATTAATGCTGCTTCAACATGCTGTCAGAGTTACATACAGTTGAGCTGCTTTTTTGCAGCTGAAACACTAGTTTATTAGAATTTATAAGGACAGATTCATTAGATCAACAAAATAATGTGCATGGCTGAGAATACAGTTTTGCAAGCCATGTATGTAAAAAAATGTCACAGTGATTTGAAGTTATTAATGCCAGCCATAAAAAAAAAATTCTCCTGTCTAATCCCAAGTCTGGTACTTCATGCCTGGTGTAAACATAAATACATAACACTTGATGCTTTGTCCAGCCATTGCTGAGGTATTTCCAAAGTTCCCTTTATTCCAGTATGAAATAAAGGGAACTTTTATTTTAACAATTATTTTAAGACTGAAATTCTATTATGAGTTATAAACATCATGAACAACATTGATCTTGCATTGCAACAGTTCACATCTAACAAGGGAATTGCTGATGGGTATTTATTTATTTATTTATTGACTGCTTACATAAAGTTATTTTTACAATGACATATGTATAGCAAACTCTAGTAAATATATCTTGAAAACATGTAGTATTGCAACTTATTGTCTGTGTTGCTTTAAGAAAGAAAAACAATAAAAAAATACAAAGAAATACCTTTCAAACAATAGATCACCACTGTCTAAGCTACAGTATAACCTACATTTTTTTTTTGTTTTGTTTCAATAAGGTGCTATTTAATTTTCAGTCATTTTGATACAAAATCAAAATATGTTTATTTTGAGACCACTCATTGGAGACCACTCTATGGATGTCAGCTTTGGTGGCAGATATATGATGGTTCATATTAACATGAAAATAAGCGTACACAACACATTATTATAAAGCTTTGTATTGCCTTACAAAAATAATGCATTTAATATGAAAATATGCTTCACATACTTAAATATCTGAAAAAGCAATGTGAAATATTTATTTCAGCTTCATCAAATAAATCATTAAAAAAAAGCATAAATATTTCTCTAATTTAACTATTAACATTAGGTACAGTGTATGTATATACAACATGGCTATATATAGTTTTTTACAGGAGGGCAGAGCGTTCAGGCAACAAGTCCCAAACGTTTCTTGATAAAGTGGGACACCAGGACTTGGGGTCTCTGCTGGTACTCCACCAGAACGTCATGAGGGGAGGTGATCTGGTCGCCGTCGAAGCGGTTCAGTAAGGCAACGCACACCACAGCCGCTGCCGAAAGAAAGGAAGTGATGAGTGATGGTACGATACTGTTCCACCGTCTTATGGTTAATTGCTGCCTCGTCTAAAGATAGGATACTTGGAAGTATTCTTGCAAGGTTTCAATCATTATTCCAGCTGTTTCTCGGCTCTAGATCAACACACATCTCCCTGACTTTCACATTTTGATGAAAAGTGTCTGTGCAATGATTAATTCTAAGCAGTTTAAACATAGTACAATAAAATTGTGAGAGGTCCAAATGTTTTTTAACATTGAATTTTTTGTCCTCACTGAATAAAAGTGCACATTTGTGTGAGATTTTCCTAATGTAATTAAAGATGAATTTATCATAAGGCAGACTCTACACGTTTAGCTCGAAATGCTTCATTTTGCAAAGGATGCAGCATGTTGGAGATTCTTGCTCAGACAGGAAGTGTATTTCTGTCTGTCTTGAAACATCAAATTAGACTAATTGCCTGATGTGTTCACAGCACTTGTGCTGGGTCATTCTAGTGTTCAACAATTTGTTATAAATAGACACCTTTCAGGCCACAGGCTCGGCACATGGCGGCAAAGACGGTGGATTCCATCTCGATATTCCTCACTCCAGCCTCGTAAGCTTTTCTCAGATACTCCAGCTTTTCCTCATGAGAAAAAGAGCAAAGAGCTCCGTCGAGTCTGCCTTGACCTGTAGAGATACAGAATATTTCAGTACATGATGAGTCCAAGAGGATTCGGAAGTGAATTATGAATGATGTTTTGCTGAGTACCTTCGTAGAAGTCATGGATGCACATGGTGTTTCCAATGACGGCTGAAAAGTTTTGCAACTCAGAGGAGCATTGCAGAAGCTCGCTGGCAACTCCTTCATCCAGCTCAGTGCTCCGAGTGATAACTTTACCCAGAACAACTTGTTCAAACTGGGGACGGAAAGAGTAGTCCACTGCTTTATCAGTGATCACCACCGTGCCTGGAGCCAGACCTGCAGATGATACATTACAATGGTTTTATAAGGTCTTTCAAGATGAAAATCTATGTAAAAAAAAAAATAAAATTGTCGGCGGGAGAAAAAATAATCATGTCTTACCGACTCCACCAGATGTTCCCAGTCGAAACAAGACCACATCACGGCACTGGGCGTGATGAAGCAGCTTAATGAGCTCATGCAGCATGATGGAGATGGAAGGGACACCCATGCCATGCTACAACAAAATTTTAAAAAACACCCTCTAAAAGTTGCAAATTTCATATTTTAGAACTCTAACTTTTGTCTGTGATGATGAGCGCAGTTTACACTGATCTCTGTAAAAATGAATACCTACACTTATGGAGAGCACTGGTCCCACTTTGTACATGCAGTAGCGATCTGTCCCCTCACAGATATCTTTGAGATCTTCTGGGATTCCCGGCAGTTTCAGCTCGTGGTGCATGAACTGGGCAAAAGCCTTCATTCGATTCGCACTGCCACCCACACACACAAACTAACAGAGAGGAACCAGTTAACACAGTGAGTTTTGGTTTTTTGACAGGTTGGCTTTTATTTCTGTAATTTGGCTTTTACAAACCTTAATATCCCCAAACATCTCTGGAAGGTTGTGAGTCTTTGTGCTCAAACTGAAGTGGTACAGAATGTCCTCCTCCATTGTGTCCAAATACGGATTTCTAACTTGAACCTGTTCTCTGGAAGTATTTTATACATATTAAAACACAGGATCACCTCCAATGTCCACACAGAATCAATAGAACACAAACCACTCACTTGATGCAGTCGTTGCGTTCATTCCCCATACAGTTGAGAAGAATCAGTGCCATGACTTTAGGTGATGCTGTGAAATAAAGTCTTAAATGTCTTACCTATTTGCTGTGAAACTATGAAGCACTCAAGTTTTGAATGAAAGTCAACCCAAAGGTGGAGTTGATATAGCCGTCACCCCGGACCTAGCCACTGATTGGTCCAGAAAAGAGGAGTAGCATGACTTGCGCTTCTGCTTAAAGTATCCACCAGTTACAAACAAACAGGGGAAGTACAGTAATGTAGAAATACTGAACCACAGCAAAAAAAAAAAAAAAAAAAAAAAAAATCTAATAGTAACAGTCAGAGACATCAACAATGAGGTATGAGAAAACCCTGAAGTGTGTAATTTCTGCAATTCAGCCAATCTGAATTCAGAAAATATATGACGCATTCGGATAAAACCCACAGAGGGAACATGGAGATAACTTCTGACCCTTACATGCAACAGTTTGACATCAGAGCAACCACATAGAATACATTCAATGTATAAACAACAACCAAATGGTTCATTCAGATGATAAACACAGCAGATAATTGTTTTTATGATTATCTCAGACATTATCATAATATCTGAGAATCCAGATACTCACAGGGCACTTTTTTAAAAAATGTTATTTTACAGCTGCATTAACACAAAACCTTTCATACTTTAGGTTAGATAGAATTGCCAAAATTATGTGATTTTGCTAAATATCAAATTAATAAAAATAACTCCTGCAAACGTATTTAAGGCACCACCTCAAACACACTGCTTCTTCGTGTGACATCATGTAAAAACTAGTTTTCTACAAGTTCGGTGCATCTATATGCAATTTCTAAATGCAAAAAGGTACATTTATTTGTCCAAACAATTATACACAAGTATAAACACCATAGGAATGTCAAGTCATCACACAGCATATCATCTTTAGGAAGGAGATAAAGTTAATGAGGTCACAATAAAATGTTTTGATATGAAATTTGTCTCAGTCTTAAAAACAAAAGACCTCACGTAGATACTGGTTTGAAGCAAGAGTCTCGATATGGTCTGAAAAACCACTCAGCAAAGACGTCCAATTATAGTTTGCAAAATGCAATCGAGGACAAATACAAATACCTACAATCTAAACAATTTGTGTTTTAAATTTTGCAGAAGTAAAAAAAAACAGAAATGAGACTCATCGAAGCTTGTTTTGTTTTTACAAAAAACTGTGAGGCAGCCAGGTAAAGAATCTGGAAGATCTGGGTGCAAAACAGCAGAGCAAAAGAATCAGAGTCATTTGGAATTTCAACTTTATTTTAGTAATTGTTTACCCATTTTCACATACACAGAGAAACTTTAACAAATGCCCCTTTGTTACGTAACAGATTAAATTAATGAGGCACCACTTACAGGCAAGAATAAATACAACTCTACAGGCATAATTCATCACTTTCACACTTTTAAAGATGTTGAACTTAGGAAAATGCTTGATCTTGCTCAGTAGGGCAAAGTTGAGAAGTTAATGTCAGAAGAAAAGATGGCAACTGTTCTTGAAGTGCATGCATCTCATTTCTGCGAAGCTGGCAGTGTTCCAGTCTGTTGACATGGAAAGGGAAAAAGAGCAAGAGTCGCTGCATTAATCATTCCCACATACGTCACTATCATATCCACATAACACTGTCAGGATGCTTCATAAATTTCTTAATGGTTCAAACGTTAAAGTTTTAAATAGCAAATTTGTCATTTCATGGTGCTTATTCATAAAGGAGTCACATAAAATCAATACACTGCTTAACAGCTTGCCTTCATTTTGTTTTATCGCGTTAGAAGTGCATTCTGAGAGCACGATAAAATGAAAATGGGAATGTTTAACAATGATAAAGTGGTTGTAACCATACTGCTGCACATCTTACTGGATGAATCACTGTTGAGGTGTGCTTTCTTCTGCATAGCCAAACCGTAACAGCTTAGTCATGTCAACAGGAGCTGGTTTCTTGTCAAAAGTTCTGAAATAGCAGTGAAAATTATTATTGTTTTAAGTAGATTTTGAAAGCAGTGTACAGTTTCGTCCAGAAATACTGACATAAGTGTGTACTTGTTTAAGATAAATAGAGTTAACATAGGTTAAACATTACACAGATCTTTAACTGTTGGGTAAATCCCGACTCTGTCTCCCGAGATAAACTCTGGCTACTGATTAAAGATGCTTCCTTTCAACAAAGCACACACAATCATCAACTGGCATTTCCAAAATGATCTGGTCTTTGACTTTTTCTAGTCACCAAGTAACTAAATGGAGGAAGTCATCCAAGTAACACATCACCTGAAAAGATTTTACCAGAAAGAGGTAAAAGAAAAACTCAGTTAAGAATGGTAGAGGATTTTTACATTTTTCTCTTTTGCTTTGGTTTTCTTTTAGGGCCAGACAGAAAGAAGCTGAAACTGGTTTTGTTTTGAGTTTTCTTTTTTTTGTGTGTGTGTCTTTAAAACTTTCCTTTTGTTATGAACATGATCCTAACCGTTTTGTCTCTGCAGCGGTGAGCAATGCGTCTTTTGGAGTCAGTGACGTGTCAAACGTCAGTGACGTTTGACACGTCACTGACGTTTTCCCAGAGCTACTGGAACACACAGCTCTGATCAGCTGCAAGCCAAAACAAACAGTTGGACATCCAAACTGTTCTAGAAGCCATTGCACTTTGTTCTGTTGTATTTGACCTGACCGTGCAACGTGCCCATGAGCTTTTCTGCTTTGTCATCACAACAGTTAGTAGAATTTACGAAGCTTATGACTTACGCTAATTACTGTTTGACTTAAATGCAGCGCCAAGAGATTCTTACAAAAATGTCAATTGACTATATTAAAAAGACATTAAACATGCAAATATTTCTGCGAGCAGCAATCAGAGAATCTTCCTGTACAGTGCTTGAAGTACTCATACTATTTTTTTTCTCCATTTTATCACATTACAACCACAAACAAATCTATTTTGCTGGGATTGTATACAACAGATCAGAACAAAGTAGTAAAACTCTGGAATTGCACACATAAGTTACAATGCAACAAATGAGAAAAGGTTTAAGACTTATAAAAAAAAAATAGCAAAATGCCAATGCACAATCAATCCCAATCATGCAGCAGTTTGCATTGCATCAGTAATTATAAATGAGAAAATATCGGGATTAATCAAACCCAAGCTATTCCTATTCAAAACATAAAGCTATTGCTGCCTTAAGAGCTCGAAACAGTCTCAAAACTTATTTTCAATATCTTGAAGCATAAATTAGAAACATGGAGGCAACTATTAAATCTCAGTGTGGATTCTTAATGCTGCATAGCAATAGCTGAACTTCTCCATTCTTTTTTAGTCCAATAAGTACCGAAGCTCAGTTACTTATCAAAACTAACAGCTTAGTTTGTTTATGGGAGTGTTAGGCACTCTGTTCAACAAAGAACAACAGCACCATCTTGTGACCATAGTAACTTACACTCTCTTATACTTGCTTCTCTCATGTTGAATGGAAGTCTGCAACTTCTCCATCTGGTTGCAATCAGCATCTGGATCCTAAAAACAGAATAAAGTTAAAGAATATTTGTATTGACAGCGTGGCAGTGTATGCCAGTGCTGAGTTAAGATAAATGAGAAACAAAACTGGGCCAAAAGGTGAGCATGTAATGTCACACTGCATCATGAGCAGCCACAGTGCTTAGCTTTAAAGTGGAATAAACAAGCTCGATTAGTACAACTTGCCCCATGTGATTAATTACTGCACACCTTTTCTTTTCCACTGCTGTCTTCATCATCTTTCTCCTCCTCTGGTGAAGTGTCCTCAGTCCCAATGGGAGCCTCTACTGGTGAATAGGCTCCAGGGTTTTTTTGCTCAATGCTGTAAATTATCCCCATGGAACAAACAAGGATAGGACACAAAACTACACAACTTAATGTTATTTTCAACTGATGCAAATAAAGTTGTTTTCAAAAATGGTTCCTTCACACTGTAGTGTTTTTGTTGTTGTTGTTGTTTTTTAAATCACAAATTAAACAAAACGTGGCATATGACATTATTTAAACACCTTGGCGTGGGGAGGTCTCCTGATGCAGTGCAGAACCAGTCTGGAGGTTTGTACGCATTCGCTGCGAAAACGTTTATGTCCTCATGCCACAAAAGCCCTGTGAAACCCCAGAAGAGCAAATATAAGGTGTTCATCTGTGGTAATGACAAGCGAACAAAAAGCACGATCGTTAATAAGGCAAAACAAGATGCCTCTTACCCTTGTGTCCTCCTTGCTTTGCAAGTTTTACGTAGTCAGAATCGCTCTCCAGCACCGCCACTCTTCTCCCTCTGAGCCTCTCCTCGGGTGGGGTGCTAATGGTCGGGGACAGTCCAGGGATCTGGGAGATGTGCCCATCTTGTGTTTTGTACCCAGTTCTGACACCTGTTTCAATGCAAACAGACATACACAGAAAAAAAAAATGTGTTGCAACGTGACCTTCTCAGCGACGTAACCTCGACCCCGCGAATTCAAATGAAGTTTAAAGCATAAGCAGCTGTACTTGCCAGATTTCCCTGGTTCATCGCAGGTACCCGAGAAAAGCAAGAAATTTCTGGAGAAAACACAAACAGACCCGACAACATTAGCATCGTAGCCGATGCTAGCATAAACGGTGCGACGTTTAACTGTTCTTGGCGGAGGAGAGAAGTTGGTTTTCACCGAGCCGCGTTGTGAACACCAAACAACACGAAACACGCTGACAAAGTCAGATAAAGTCCATATTCGAGCACAGCCTCGCGTCACTTACTCTGAATTCATCGTGCAAGCGGTGAAAAAGCTGCTGCACCCGCTCTGTTTGGAACTTTGTGAACTCGTCTCCATAGAAACGGCTTCCTCTAACAGCTGCTGCTCGAGAACTGTTCACATCTACCGTATCTTTTTTTTTTTTATATTAGACTGCAGTTATAGTTCAGTTCAAAACGGCAACTCGTTTCCCCTGCGGAAGTGATAAAGAACACATGTTTTCTTCGAAACAGAAAAACGTGTGATTATTATTCGCTTAGAGAAAAGCAGCTGGAGGTTTCAGGGTAGAAAAGACGGCATCACTCAGAGAGACAAGACAAAGCAAACAAACTGAGTTTGATTCAGTGACTGGAGAAAAGCTGCAGGGAGATATGAGCTGAGGCACAGAGGGAGAATGTTTCACCAACCAGGAAGAAACTTTTTTTTTTCCAGACATAACTAAATTAATTAATTAGTTCTTTAATTAGCATTGTTTTAATGACTAAAACAATGCTTGAAACTGAAATGGTAAGACAAAACTTTCCTATCAGTTTTAGACAGTCAGACAGGGAGACGTTCAAGCAGACAGATGTTTTTAAAAGCTACTTGACTCGAATCACCTCTAGTGTCAGGTTTGTGGCCCAGGCAGTTCTTGAAGCGTGGAGTTTTTTTTTTTTTTTTTTCGTTTTTTTTTTTCTTCCTTCAATGTTGTGAACATGCGCAGAGCAGCCAAAGTCCCTTTAAAGCCTGGCTATCAAGTCGCTTAGTAAGTATTTCAGGGACGGCAAGAAGTTCCTCTACTTTCAGTATAAAACTTTGTTGTACCTTTTTAATATTTTTTAAAAAAAGTCTTACATTAGTAAGCAACTTCCTATTTGCCATTGGGCTTAGTTCTAATTGTGTATTGTCTGGTGAGAGCCTTGGTCTTATTTTTCTTATTTTTCCTAATAAGTAATTTTTATGGAAACATGTTTTTTTGTTGTTTTTTTTATTAGCAAACTTTGACAATTATCAAAGTAGTGCTTAATGTAGACGCTTTTCTGCCGACTTCAATATTTTGCACATCTTAACTTTGTTTTCAAAGACTGAGGAAAAATATGATGCAGAATTACACTTCAATTCTCACATGCAAAATACCTTTTTGAACTTCATGTGTATGGAACTATAAATTGCAATTTGTATGCAAGGAAATCGTGGAAATAAATAGAAACAATATTTCACATTAATATGAATGATACTGGACTGTTGGCAAATGCACCTTAATTGCTTTTGCGGATCCTCTTTAAATCTCTCCTTGTTCACTTAAGCCTGGCAGAGATGCTGAAGTCGTTGATATGATCTTTGCCTGTTACGCTTGTTAGAAGTAATAGTTTGAACATCTTTCTCTCTCTGCTCTTTGGTCCTGCGCTGCTTCCTTCATAAAGCCTCCTTTTCAACTTCTCTGGGATTTGAGGTCAAAGTTCAGGTATTTCTTAAGCTTTTCAGGTGCTAATCAGCTGCTCATTGTAAACACCTTACCTTGTTATCACAGTTACACATTGCTGGTAAATAACATAAAATAAAATAAAAAGTAAGAGAAAAAAAATCATTTCAGCTCCACAGCATCCAAAGTTAGTGCAAATAACTGCCCCAAAAAATGCAAAACCTCAATCAGAAACATGATGAACAAACACCTACAAACAGTAACAGAGCTATGAGAACATGCTGCCACCACAAATGACAATTCCAGAGTCTAAAAAGTATATGTTAGTACCTTATTTTTATTGTTCCATTTTTTCTAAGCTAATACGACTCGAACTCCGAAATTGATGGAAGAGAATTTTGAGTTTTATTCTGAAGAGTATTACCGGAAACACTCGCGCCACAACTCCGACTTAATGATATTTTCCCCACACAGTAGTAAGTCCCTGCAAGGTAACTTCCTCCGCCAATCCTGGCTATTTGCCTTGAAACGCTGCCGCTCGAGTACGACTCTCGAAGCCCCCCCGGGATTGTCCTGACTGTCTGTGAAGAAGAACCGGGCTGTAAAATGCACCTTATATTGGGTTCTGTTCTCGGAGTCAGCACTCACTGACTTTCGCCGGTTCTTCTTTGTGAAATTGCAACCAGCGACCGACGGATGATAATGTTGGCGTCATGAAGACTCTGCTGCCAGACTTTGGAAAACAAGTCGGGTTTTTGTCGGCGGATCCTCGGGAGATGGCAGAGTAATCGAAACGGTTAACCGAATCCTCATTTCGAACCACTTTGGGGAAACAAATAGCTAGAAGGTAAGTTTAACTACATCGTTTTGGAAAATAGCAGACGGTGGAAAAGTTTCGTCTGTTTGCTGTTGGAGGTTGCTGTGTCTCAGCCTGGCTCTGTAAACCCCCCTCCCTTTTTAGCCACACAAAAATAAACGCTTTCAGTTGTTTTTTTAAATCATTCCAGACTTCCTGAACACACAGCTTAATTACACATGTCACACGTCCAGACATCTTGTTTTTTTAATGATTATTATTGTTAAAGTGAATGCCTCAGGCTGATGTTATTCACTGATAAACTGGGTAGGATGAGCGTCAGGCTCAAAGAATGAAAAAGCGGGTCTGCTTTTGCAGCTGCCAGAGGTTTTAAGATTCTCGCTTCCATTTGGAGACTGGACGCAGCTTGATGAGACTTTGAGTTTTTTTTTTCTTTTCCCCCCTTTTTTGTCATGCAAACTGTATTTCTCAAAGGGTCGTTGTGGTTTGGGTCCCATCATTGCATGTTGGGCGATATTAACATCACAATCTCAGTCCTGCAGGAGGGGGGCGCAGCTAAAGTCAAAACCACAAATCCAGTAAAAATCCCCAAGTAAAAAGTAAAAAAAAAAAAAAAATCAACGATAAAGTAACCAGGTTTATTATCGTTCTTTTTTGGGCCAATCTGGTCAAACGGGAAATGGTTTTTGATGCATGCAGAGGCCTGTAGGCTTGCTGATGAGAGGGTGTAAACTTCATTATAAGGGTGTTAAAACTGTCTGAAAACACTCAGCAGATAATTGTCCTGAAGATGTGTGAATGATAATGCATCAGGGTTAGGTGCTCCTCTGGTTTCTGCCTCCCTTAGGGGTCATGTTCTCTGGAAGTTTGAGCAGAATGTTCTTTTTCTTCCCCCTCTGCAACTCAGTTAATTTTATGGTGACACACCTGGAGGCATTGGACTGATCACACCTAAACACTCACTCACTCACTGGTCATTTTGTTAGGAAAACCTCTTTTAATACTTCATTATGCAACGAGCTAATGCGCCAATCACCTGGCACTAGAAGCATCAGAGCAACTAGAGTTGAAGACCACTTTGCTGAAGTTTAAACATCAAAATGGAGGGGGAATACGGGATTTGAGTCACTTTGAATGTGGTATGCTTGCGGGAGTCCAATGGACTAGTTCACATGTGTCAAACTCCAGTCCTCAAGGGCCGCTGTCCTGCAGTTTCTAAATGTGCCACAGGTACAAAACACTGGAATGAAAAGACTTAATTACCTCCTCCTTGTGTAGATAAGTTCCCCCGAGCCTTGCTAATGACCTAATTGTTCTATGCAGGTGTGGTACAGCAGAGGCACATCTAAAAGTTGCAGGACACCTGCCCTTGAGGTCTGGAGTTTGACAACCCTAGACTAGTTAATAATAGCATTTGGAAAAACGGATCTCTTGGAATTTCCATGCACAACCATATCTCATGTTGACAGAAAATGGTCCCAAATTTCCTATTAATGTCAGAAGAAAAAAATCAGACTGATTCTCTATGATAGAAGGGCAACAAAAGCCAAATCAATCCCTTTTACAACTGGACTGAATTATTGGGTGGAATATTTTGTGGAATGCTATTTTTGATGAAAACTTTGCTTGTAGTAATATATTTGGCTAGATGAATGGACTTGCACTGCCATTTCTGCCCACGTCTGACATAGAGCTTTGTGCTTGAGTTCTCAAAGCTCAATAAGAATTGTTGATGACATTATGATGGTACACTATTGATATTGCCAAAATAAATTTCAACAGTAAACCTGTCACATTCTTTGCATTGTTGACCACTGCTATAACCAAAACCAAATCAAAATATCATCTCTGAACACATTAATATTTTGACCCTTGAATCAGATGGTCTACTGCTGCAAAATATCATTTTGGGACTGCAGCAATAAGATGGTAAAGTCAGAGTTAGGTGTGAACAGGAGGAAAGCCTGGATCAATCCTGCCTTGGATCAATGATTCAGGCTCATGGTTGAATGATGTGAGGGTACATTTTTACATTTTTTAACACGGTCTGACTATTGTCAGATATATCCACAGTATACCTATCTTCTCATGGGTCTTTATAGCAGGATAATGTATCAAGTCAATAAACCCAATCCATTTCCAACTAGTCTCATATATGGCTCCACGGAACACCACAGTCAAAGATCCTAATCTAATAGAGCACCCATGGGATGTGTTGGAACAAGATATTCACATTATAGATGTGCAGCAGACAAATATTCAGCAACTGCATGATGATATGTCGGTATAGATCAAAATCTCAGAGGAAGGTTTCCAACACCTTGTCGAATCAGTGCAGTGAAGAGTTGAGTCGGTTCTGAAAGCGAAGGGTTCCAGACTATTACTAACAAGGTGTCTCTTAGAAAGCAGCTTGTGATAATGTGTGATAACATAGCAAAGTGTTTCGCTTTCAAAACGTATATAATCGCCATAACTTAATGTAATTCAGGATCAATTAGAAGACTAAAAACACCGCCACAAATCATCAGCAGGTAAAAATACTGAAGTTATTGGAGTCTGTGAAGTAACCGAAGAAGCTTTGGCAGGGTTTAAACATTCAGGTTATTTGTCATAGTCCCAGCTGCCAGTATGAAGTGGCACTTGGTGGTCATGTGTTTGTGTGGTCTGGAGAATGTAATCCCATAGCTGACCAGTCACTTAGGTCAGACTTCTTTTCAGTGAGGCACTTCTGTCTTGGACTCTTGCAGACAGTGGTCAGATCAGAAGACGTCAGACAACCTATATTGGAGTGTGGTTCAACTTCTTGGTGACCTTTAGTTTTATTTATTTGTATCTCCATTTGGATGAGTTGAGACTCAACGTTTTACTTTGGAATAG